ATTGTTGTATGTTTGCTTTTTTAGTTGCCATTGTGAGAATTTTTTCTATTTTTCTAGAATGGTACGGGGCATTATCCAGTACAATAACAGCGTTATTCTCCAGCTTTAGTAACATTTTGGCGAACCAATTTTCAAAGGAATTGCCGTCCATCTCCTCATGATAGTCCCCTGTCTTTTTTTATTCAAAGGCCCACAGTGCTTCGGGAACAAAGCCGTCTTCACTACCTACGTGACAAATGATCAGCCGTTTGCCTTTTCCTGGAAATAAATTATTCCTTACACTATGGATTGATTAAATTTGAAGGAATGAGGTAATTGAGTTCATTTAGCTGAATTTAAGAGTCACGGAATGCTGATCAAAAACTGAAAAACGTAGAAAATTGAAGTTTGCAACTTCTCAAAACCCATTCAAAGCAAATTGACTGCACCCAAAAATGATAATAAATTTCAAAATAACGCTTAAAAGAGGGTCGAAGTTTTTTTCCTAATGACTACACTGCGAATGCACCATTTTTGGAGAATATCACACATTATCTGCTATCACAGCATATTATCTGCCCGAATTTATCAAAATTAAATTGCCGGATAGATGAAGGAGCTTACCTGCAGGATTTTTCAATCCAGCCGAAAGACCGTCTAGAAAAGCCTGGCTTGATGATGTTACTGATTTGTCGACCCAAACTTTCGCTTGAGTATGTCCAGCATTCACCCACGTTTCGTCCAAATAGTAATTTTTTCTTTTTTCATCGCGAAACTTCCGAATCTTCCTAAGGTATTCCCTTCTCCACACAACAATTTCTTCTTTCTCTATTAACATACTGTTTCTTCCCCGTTTCAAGAATCGAAAATTAAGTTCCTTCAAAAGTTTTCGGAATGTGGTTCTTTTAAATGATGGAAGATCCTCATCAGCATTAACTAATCTTAATATCTTATCTATTGTAGGTATCTCATTTCGGAAGAAAAAATTATGCACTTTCCTCCTGATGGCAGTTCTGTCAAAGTCATCTACTCCGTCCGTTATCCTTTTTCTTGCAGGATACGGTTTTGGCTCAGAAAGTGAGTGAGTGCTCCTATATTCCTTAATGATCCTATAAACACTGGACCGACATACTCCAGAAATATGTGCTACCTTACATATAACTTCGTCCACGACCAAATCGGGGTTTTCTTGAATTTGGTTTTTGTATATATTTAATATTATTTGTTTTTCATTTGCACTTAAATGTAGCTTCTTAGCCCTTTTTTTGGGTGGGGTTGCGCTGATGTCAACCACTTCGTTGGCTGTATCTGTGTCAGACATCGTATCTAGGCAATATACAAACAAAACGTTCCACTCGCGAAAAACGAGTATACGCTACTGAATGCGTAATGCGTATGCAATGCAATCCTGTGCGTGAATTAACTGTTAGATGCCTGTCGTGTCATCTACAATCACGTTTACAAGTCCAAACCTGTGCAGATTCGTAGAGCGCCGACGACTGCTAGTGACCTTGAATTTGTCTGTAGATCGATGTTACTCCAGTCAATTTAGGTTCAAAGTGGATGTTTTCTAAACCAATTTGTTGTTCCTACATCAAAAATATATCGATGATGTTTTGTACTGGGAGCTCATGAAAGATCAAGGTAACTTATTTTAACAGTCATCCTTTTTCTAGTCTCAAGATGACACGAAAAAGGGTCTGTGGATTCACTAGAAATACACTCCCGAGGATGTTTAGACCTAAAGTGACTGGAGTATATCCGTGGATGCTTTCGAGGGATCTGTTCACGTGCTGATCACTGTTTACGTTTAATGTCTTTCTTCAGCGCCCAGAGTATAGACTGTCTTCGGCGCTAATACGACGTTGCAGTTTAGTATTTTGGGAGGCCAGAAGATGAAGGAGGTATGTGCATCTTCGATTGCAGATTTGTGTACCTATGTATCGAAGAAATATATATGTATATGTAAGTTAAATTACTGATACCGAGATTGATGTTTTTAAAAAAAAACTTTATTTCCAAAATCGGTACAGAGTGACTTCTAGAGAAACCTTGTCACGTAGGTACGTAAAACAAGACGGTCAAACCAAAAGTGACGAGATTTCCTAACATATGAATCTAGCATGGTATACAAGAAATATGATATGATAAAGAAAACGATGTTAACATGAGAACTAGCAAGGCGCGAGATAAGATTCTTGAGCGCCGCGTCATTGCTCGTGAGAAATCAAGTGCCTACTAAGTAAATTATAATTTTATATAATGTACAGGGTGAGCATGGACATAACTCCTCCCTCCTTAAACTCTTAGAACGTCCTCGTTCTTATCAGACTCAACTTCATTTTTCTTTTGAGATAATTTTTGCCTTTTACACAAACGTGATTTTAATACAAGTATAATTAATATCGTAACGACTATCCCTATTATAAGAGAACTATTGACATGAGAATGATAGTTGTTAAACTTAACTGGTGCAACCTCTTTCATTTTATCTAAATTTTCCTTGATATCAGAAAAATCGTTACTAGTAATATGGAAAGTATCTATCGTGTGTGTTGGCTTTAATGTAAAGTCAGAAATATTGAAATCCAAGGGCTCTGTTGGAATAACAGTGCTATGAAGAACATATGATACATCATTTATAACCAGTGTGCAGTTACTACTTAAAATATAATTACCAATTAGATTAAAAGGCTTGATTTCGCCATCGCATTTTTCGAAAACAGTGATTCTGATGTTGCTAGAAAATAATACTGCCTCATCACTCTCGAGCAAATATGTTAAGCTTAAAAAGTTTTTAGCCTGTACAATGCTACATTGATCAATTGATCGAGGCGTACATTTTTGATTAGTCGAAGTTTCACAAATAAATCGATTCATGGATCTTTTACATTGCTTAGGACAACTTTTAATCGATACATCGTTATACAAAAAATATTCATGTTGGAATAGTACTAACATGGTGTTACTGTTTAACAAGGGATATAACTTTGATAATTTATATTTGGTAGATTCCAAGATAGGTAACTCGACTGCGCATAAAATTATTTCATCTGTATAAATAATACTACTTCTACTCAGGCTAAGTACTTCGAAAGGATGAGTTTCGTCTAAGAGAACCAAATTTTTCTTAGAATAAACAGATTTGAGATATTCTTCAATATGAATCAGTTCCTTAACATTAAAATTAGCTACATTGGTCATATGTTTCTGTGATAGGGATATTGTGCTTTGGATCAGTCCGAGGTAATCAGAGATTTCTCGTAGAGAAATAAGTAGTCTAAAAATTAAAGTTTCATACTCGTATTCATAAATTGCTTTCTTGACAGTTTCTGATAGCGATTGTACATTATTTTGAATGAGTTTCATGTTTCTCTCAAATTTTTGTGAAATGAGCTGAGCGAATGCTTTTTGATTGTTAATAGCCACTATGAGTTCGTTCTCTTTGTCTCTTAATGATATAAATTTATCGTTGATTTCTGTAAGATCGTCCAGATCTAAGTTACCCGTCACATACCTTATAATGCTTCCCAATCCATTAATAATAGCTCGACGTTTCCTACTATATGAATGGTAAGGCGATAATTTTGAATATTCTGCTTTTACGTTAATGATATTTTTATACAAGTCCTCTAGTACCGGTTTAAGATTTGTATCGTCAGAATAGTTTATTAAGGCTCTATAACTAACTTCTACCTTATTAATAACATCAGCTATTAAGCTGAGATTATGACTAAGAATAAACGTATGATAATGGCTTATCAGTTTCGCATCACCTATTGGTTCCGAATAGAAACCATTATTAGTTGGAACTTGATGAAGCCTCAGCTGTAGACTCTGCGACCATAGAGTTGTCAGTAACAAGATCACACACTGAAAATCCATGAAAGGCGCGGTTTTCTGTCTTCTTCTTTTTCTCTGTTTCGGCTCCACTAGCTTCTACAGTAGACTGGCTGTACTGCTACAGTTGCTGCACACCCTCCTAGTAGTGCCGGACTTACTACTAACTTTTTGGGAGTTCTGGAACTTCAGGCCGTGGCCCAGTGCTAATGGTCCTCAGTACCTTCACTCGGTTGCTTATTACTGGCTAGGATCCCTCCAAGAACATTGAAAGTTCGCGTGCCTTTTCGTTTAACTGGTGATTTCGGCTTGCCGATAATCTGCTCGATTGCCTCGAATTCGGACGCCGAAGGAACACGTTTCACGTTTCGCGACACGCTGAGGGATCCCGGTTGAGCCCCCAGTTAAATTACTGATACCGAGATTGATGTTTTTTAAAAAAAACTTTATTTCCAAAATCGGTACAGAGTGACTTCTAGAGAAACCTTGTCACGTAGGTACGTAAAACAAGACGGTCAAACCAAAAGTGACGAGATTTCCTAACATATGAATCTAGCATGGTATACAAGAAATATGATATGATAAAGAAAACGATGTTAACATGAGAACTAGCAAGGCGCGAGATAACATTCTTGAGCGCCGCGTCATTGCTCGTGAGAAATCAAGTGCCTACTAAGTAAATTATAATTTTATATAATGTACAGGGTGAGCATGGACATAACTTGCATATGCAATTATCGTTTTAATGTGTCAAGACATTTTTTAAAAGCCTGCTTTGTAAATGCGCCTTACGACACATTTCGAATATAATTTCTTGATAAACACTTCTACTAAACAACAACAATAGACAGTTGTTTTCTTTTTGGTCATGACAGCTAAATTAAAAAAATACATTAATTCCGAGCTTTACGTTTGGACCCTATACATGCCTGCAATAATTTTGCACACTTTTTGATCCTGTCGTAGAACCATAAAACATTTATTCTTAGTACGGCCCTGTAACGTGCTCGGCACTCTGGAGCGCGATCACGTGATTATATTTAGATTTGGTCTCTTTCTTCGATACATAATAGATGGCGCCTATGTGGAGCGTGTGAGACGCTACATGCAATATTTTTGTGTTATCTTAATGTGGCACACCCTGTAGAACCTCTAGCTAGGCCTATACATTGAAACACAAGTTTTGAGCCTGAAATGTTGGTTTTTATTGATTCATGTATGTAAATATGCATAGGACAATCGATTGAAATGATTTCTTCTTTTTGCAGAGACAGTAGAGCGTAGATGGACATCGCAAACATCACATTCGAAGGTGAGTGTAGAGATCACTTCTTACTCTTAGATTTTCCTCTTGCAGCGGGCATTTTCCTCTTTCTCAGTACACGCTTAGGGCCTTCGATGACGTAATACGGTGTTCGGCTACCTTTCTTATCCATCAGCTCTTTCACGACGCTGCCCAAAACGTATCTGCAATAAAGGAATCACATCATGGAGCGCTGGAATAGTCCACAGAATGTAGTGTAGAACACGATCTAAGTCCAAAGTATTCTTAAGGATTATTATGCAGGCCTCTCCAACTCAGGTGCTACCAATGCAGCGCCGAGCACCGCTCGCAGAACAGTGCTGCAGGATGACTCCGTGAAGGTGGAGGAGGGATGAGGCAGCGGCATACGCATCGCGAGGAAGGTGTTGTGCTAACCGTAGCACCCTGCGAATAGAAATGACCCGGGAGCTGGTGGCATTGAGTATTCCTTCATCGCGAATTCGACTAAATTTAGTAATAGTATGTAGTTTTTAAGTAAATGAACAAGAAGAGCTCAGTAAGACGGGGCGCATCCTGTCAGAAGTACCTGTAATACCGACTTAAAGATACAGCGTGACAAGAGAATTTCACCGTCATCACCGGATCCAATGAAGCCTACAAGGTTTGATGAAAATTTTAGGCTCATTTGGAAAAACATGGCATGACAAACTGATTTCCGCCAGAAGTTTCTGTCGTACCAACTGAAAGCTATAGCAGGCAATGCAAATAGATAAAAATAATACATCCTGTTTGTATGCTTCATGCTTGCATTTAAAGGCTCATTTGAGTCTGTCAGTTTGACACCAGGCTACTAGATGTTTGAAAGTATACGTAAAATGAATATGAAACGTCATGACCGTTGATATACGTATAGGTTATGGTAAAATCCTACCGTCACGTTGTATCTTCAAGTCGATATGACAGGTACTTTCATCGGCATACCAAGCCCTTTTTGTTCATTTACTTAAAAACTACATATTATTACTAAGTTTAGTCGAATCCGCGATAAGGTTTGAATTGGTCTGATCGAGTCAACGCGCGGTTGATAAAATAATGTTCATTTCGACGTAAACACATTTATTCTTAAGATGATCTTTGACAGCGTTTCGGTTCAACAAGTTTTCTAATATTTGGTACAGTGGCTTGAGCAGTGGAAATTCTGAGTATCGCCTCTAAGGACACATCAGACAAAGACCTGTTTTTAGTTTTGTTCAACTTCATCAAAGAAAACATCTGCTCGCAGAAGTACGTTCTATCGACCATGGAGCAAGTGTCCAAGGCCAGTGTAAGAATTTTGGAAAAATCTTGCTGCTTAACACCTTGATAAAACGAAATTAAATTACTATTGTAGTGGTAGTATCTATCCTTAAGGATCGTATCGCATTGCAGCTTAATCAGCTCCATTTGGAACTGCGGCGTTCTGTTTCGAAAAGCACTGAAGATGGCGTCGTAAAAATCTCATTTGCATAAACATCTCAACGTCGTCAATGATTTAAAATAAAAATCTTTAGCATTTTTGTGCAGCTTAACCAGCGCATAACACAATAAACGGGTATGTCACCGTAACTTGCTTCCAGGTCTTTGAAAAATACTTCAAACTGCCGTGGTTGAGACCTTGCTTTCTGCAGAAATTGACACATGTTATTACTACATCCATAACAGATTTGAAATTATGGAAGGTTTTTGCACATAGTTGTTCCTGATGTAATATGCAGTGTACCGATGATATCGGAGGTAGCCCAGCGTCGCGAACTTTTATTTTCATTTGCCCAGTAAAACCTTGTGCTTCCAATAACATTGCTGGCGCTCCATCAGTAACAACACTACGCAAACTTCTGAGTAGTATACCCATGTCATTCATTGTGTATTCTACAGCATCAAAAATATCTTCTCCGGCCATTGTATCTTTGAACGGGATAACGTCTAGTAGTTCGTCGGTGATAATAAAGACTATTTCGACACCTCTAACGGAAACAGCTAATTATGCTGTGCCAGAAATGTCTTTACCTTCATCGAGAGCTATAGAATAATGCACAAAATGGGCACATTTTCCTGCAGTTGTTCTTTTAAATCTGCACCAAGTTCAAGTATCCGACGAGAAATGGTTTGCTCGGGCATACTAATTGTCTCAAAGTTGCTTACAGGAGATGGGCAGAATATTTCTGCACACTCCACTAAGCATTATTTGACAAGTGCACCGTCGGTAAACGGTCTCCCACTTTTTGCGATTTTCAAAGCAACAATATAACTGGCATTACGACACCATTAATAATAATCAACTACGGCCAAATTAATAATTACCTCTTCAGAACTTAGAAGAGCTGGCCTCAATACCGTGTGATAAATTAAACATTTTGCGTTTCCATCAATATTTACAAAAAATAAGCTTCTTCCATGCAGGATTGAATGACAAATATGCACGTTAAAACGCTAAAAAACCTGTCCACTTTGTCTTGTCCTATTAAGAAATGGCCCGCGCCCGAGAGACAGTCGGCTAAAATGTTTCTCTCTGTCGCGACGGCTGTGCGGTCGAGGTGGAGGGGGAACGGCACCGGTGCCACTGGGTTCAGCACCGGAGCGCACCAGCACCAAGAGCTCGAGTTGGCGAGGCCTAGATTATAGGATGATGTTTGAGCTTTAATTTGGATGCTGGCCACTTCCAAAATAATAATTTTCAATCGAATTTTTCAGCATTGAAAATGGCCTTTTTGAAGGCATAGCTCTTTTTCAATATAAAGCCAACCGTGGCTCGTTTGATGTTTTATTCATGAATGGAAGAACTGTGAAAATCCAATGAAGAGCTAAAAATACGAGGTGTGTCCGGAAAGTATCCGACCTGCGTTCATATATTCGCGGAATAGCGAAAACTACTCTTTAGGAAATATTACTATAAAAGTTTTGCATTCAAATATTTTAGGACGTAGGTATGTGTTTTAGCATTTCGTTATTTCACTTTTGATTTTAGTACTGAATTGTTTTTCTAAAAACGCAAAGATGTTCACAGTGAAAAATCAATCAAGCGAGTTTTCAAGCATTTTCCAAAAATATTTTAAAAAGTGCTATAATCATATTAGTAAATTTTCCCGAAATAATTGTTAAGTCTGGTTTTATTGGTGCAAGTTGTTTTTGTGGGAAAACTTTTCATTTGACAACAAAGAATGAGAAAACGTGTTTTTTGGCATTCAATCGAACGTGTTTACACCAACGAAAAAAATTTTCAATATAAGTATTTTAGGTATTTATGAGACCTACAAAATGAGACTACACGTAAAATGATCCGACAAATAGCAAAAATGTTATAGCCGAATAACGATGCAAAATGCAGGTTTTGGCAGTTGTTGGTAATGCGACGATAATTTCTCGCAACTTCTTGAAATTCTTCAAATCCGTAGGACTCATACTTCTAAATAAAAATAACAAAATTGGAGTATATAGGTCAACTAGTTTCTTGAGAATTACTAATTGTTTATCCCAAAACACCTGTTTTCCCGCCATCACTACTAGTTTATTGGCCAATACACAGGGCTCGTTCGAAGAGCATTTAATAGTAAAATACGCGATTTTAACTTGCCGATATGAATCACAAAAAATTCCGAAAGATAAATGTTATTTTTATGCGAAGAACAAAGGTTACATTTTTTTCTTCTAAACAAATTCAAACATTTCGTATTTGTGAGTAATTGAACAAATGCGCTACGATATTCGAAAAACATACGTTTATTGTTTAGAAGAAAAAACGTAACCCATCCTTTTTCTATAAAAATAACATTTATCTTCCGGAATGGTTTGCAATTCATATCGGCCAGGTAAACTAGTGTATTTTGCTATAAAATGCTCTTTGAACTAACCCTGTATATCGTTCAAAAAGCTAGTGATGGCCGGAAAACAGATGTTTTGGGATAAAAAATTAGAAATTCTCAAAAACTACTTTATCAGTCTACCCCAATTTTGTTGTGGTTATTTAGAAGTACGAATCCTAGGGATTTGACAAATTTCAAGCGAGAATCCTTCGTCGCATTACCAACAAGTGCAAAAACCTGCAGTTTGCCTCGGTTTTTGCTATTAGTCGGATCTTTTTACTTGTGGTTTCATTTTTTAGGTCTCATGAATGCCTAAAAATTTTATATGAAAAGTTATTTCGTTCACACTTTCGTTGAATCCAAAAAATTCGTTCGTTTTGTCATTCTCCGTTGTCGAATAAAAAGTTTTCACATAAAAATTGGTATACCCATAATTTAAGTACCCCCTATTTTCGTCTAATATGATTAGACTACTAGTAGTAAATATGCCAATATTTGAAAAGTTTTATTATAATTTTTTATTATACTCAATTTCAATAGCATTCTCAATAGTCTTTAGCCTTTGGATTTGTGTTCCGCTTTTTAAAATTGTTGTTCATAAATAGAGAATAAAGTTTTTTAAATATGTTCAGTGATTGTCACGGTTATTTATTCCTGTTTACGATTGGGCAGCATTGGAAAAAACACAGTAAACAAATTACCCGGGCAAATGGAGGCGCTTCCAATTATACCCAAATAAATTATCAGACCATAACAAAGTGATACGACTGTATTTTTATAAAAATGTTCGTATTGAACATCGTTATAATTCAAACAGGATGGCAAGAGAATTGCATAGTCAGCACATCTCAATGTAGGTATATTATACAGGGTGGCGCATCGAAAACGAAACAGATGCATCTACTGATAGCTCAGCTTTTTTTTGAAAAACGCTCAGATCCGTCGATTTTGTTTTCGATGGGGACACAAGTTTGGCAAAAAATCACGTTAACACATGCAGCCCCCTGGACGGGGGTGACACCAACCCTGAAATCTTAAATGGAAAGGGGGGTCGAGTGATACCTTATTTTAAAGGTCTTTCAATTCCCTTTATAATGATATAGCATTAATGTACGTCAGTTCAGTAGTTTTGAAGATTTATTGATTTAAAGCTTAAAGTAGACTTTAATAGGTACATCAGATTAGTTTGTACTACTTCCAGAAGAAATTTGACTAAAGGAATTTACTTGATAAGTAAATGCTTTTCTTCACTACGCCCATGGTTTGTTTATCATTTAGTTGTTGAAAATAGCTATTGGAGTGTTTTTTTTGTGGCAAAAAGGTTATTTCTTGAAGAAAGATAAGGAAATATCTCGTACTTATTTTAACTAGGAATTTAGTACATAGTTTGCGATTGATTTGACCAAACTTTGTTGCTAAAATAACTTGTAATGCTTTATTAAATAAATTAACCATGGTATATTCCACAGCAGAAAGAGTTGAAATTATCGGAATATTTTTCGGAAATAATCAGTGCGCTAATAGAACAGCAGAAATATTTAATGAGCGACATGAGAACAGTAACGTGCATCGAAAATATGTTTTAGAACTTGTAGCTAAATTTCAGGAAACTGGGTCAGTCGCCAATAAAAAACGCAACATTGAAAATCCCATAAGGAACGAAGCAATAGAAGTGGGGGTTTTAGGGAAAGTTTATCTAGATCCTACGTTCAGTACCCGCAAATTGGAGACTGTATGTGGTGTTAGTCGACGTACTGTCCAACGGGTTCTAAAGGCCCATAGTTTTCATCCGTATAAAATTCACCTGGTACGAGAACCTAACGAAGACGATTTTGATCGGCGATTACAGTTTTGTGAAGATATGAGTGAACGAATTATAAACGATGAACATTTTCTATTCAACACTTGCTTTTCCGACGAATGTTCCATTTTCTTAAATGGCGCAGTAAATCGTCATAACTGCCGATATTGGTCCGATTCTAATCCCAGAATTTATTATGAGATTCATACACAGCAGTTGCAATAATTAAATGTTTGGGCTGGTATTTTTGGCGCTCATTTAGTTGGTCCTTTTTTCTTACCTGAAAATTTGATCGGTGAAATGTATTTGGAATTACTGGAAGATGCCATAATTAAAAATCAGGATGATCGGCGGTACATTGCGAATAGGTTGATGTCCCAACAGGATGGTGTGCCACCACATTACGCATTACGTGATCGATAATATTTAGATCAGACGTTTCCAGATCGATGGATTGGTAGAAGAGGTGCCATTGAATGGCCCCAATATCGCCAGATTTATCACCTTTGAATTTCTTTATGTGGGGTCATTTAAAAAGCAAAATCTATGCTACTCAGCCAACATCATTAGTACTCAGCCAACATCATTAGAAGACCTGCGAGAAAGAATTGTGAATGAGTGCCTTCAAATTACTTCTCAAATATTGCAAAATGTGCAGCAACGTTTTGACCAAAATCTTATCATTGCATGGAGAGTCATGGTGGCCATTTTCAACATTTAGTTGCCTAACGGGTCAGTTCATTCTTCATTTTTAAATGACTTTACTGCCAAATGTATTGATCTGCACTAATGATGCTGTATTAGTTTTATTTAAGCTTTAAATCAATAAATCTTCAAAACTACTGAACTGAAGTACATTAATTCTACATCATTATAAAGGGAATTGAAAGACCTTTAAAATAAGGTATCACTCGACCCCCCTTTCCATTTAAGATTTTGAGGGTGGTGTCACCCCCGCTTAGGAGGCTGCACGTGCTAACGTGATTTTTTGCCAAACTTGTGTCCCCCTCGAAAACAAAATCGACGGGGCTGAGCGTTTTTCAAAAAAAAAACAGAGCTGCCAGTAAATGCGTCTGTTTCGTTTTCGATGCGCCACCCTTATAGTCTTGTTGATGTGTTCGGCCTACAACATGCATTGTATAACTTATTCAACACCCGCGGGTAGCGTATCGATCTGTTTACTAAATTATTCGCTGATTTCCAAGAAGCAAGTTATGACTATCAAATGGTCATCCATACTAATTAATATGATGTTGCGTTGCTATGAGCAGCTCTGATCTTTTCTACTATAAATTATTG